AATGATTCTGTTTAACCAGAGGTTAAGTGATTTGTGAATGTTTCCACATCTCTGAGATGGAATTATTGTAACCTAATATATGCTTTTCTATCTCTTTATTTATTTTTTTTCATTAGGATTACATATAACCTGTCTTTGGGTTCTGAAGACACACACAATCAAGAAATATCATATTTTTTTCCATAATACACACATCATTATTAGATATAATATATATATATATATATATATATATATTAGACACCTCCTCTATATTAGATATACTTATTATGTCATTGTTTTAAGTTATTTTACACATGATGGGCTACACTGCAAGCATTAAGAACCCTAATACACTGTATGACCGCTGGGCTTGTCATCTCAGGATATCAGATTACTGGGATTAACACTCTAGTGCAGCAGATATTTGTTGCAGTTGCCACTATTAAATGAAAATATTCACTTTTTTATAATTATCTCTTAATGCTGCCTTCTGATTAAAAAAATATGCAATTTTTTATGGCTTCATTTTTAATTGTAGAGAGGCAGCCTTGACTCCTAGAGTGGAGCCTTAGAATTAGTATCTTCATGTTTTGCTCCAAGCTCAATCTAGCAACATCTCTGACGCTATTCAAGTGTGTGTTTTAACCCCTTAGTGACCATACCGCTTTTCAATTTTCTTACTTTTAAGGACCAGGGCAGTCTTTAAATTTCTGCGGTGTTTGGGTTTAGCTGTAATGTTCCTTTTACTCATTTACTGTACCCACACATATTATATACTGTTTATATACTGTTTTGTCGCCATTATATGGTCTTTCTAAAGATACCATTATTTTCATCATATCATATAACTTACTATAAAAAATTATAAAATATGATGAAAAATTAAAAAAAAACACTTTTTCTAACTTTGACCCCCAAAATCTGTTACGCATCTATAACCACCAAAAAAAAACCCATGATAAATAGTTTTTACATTTTGTCCTGAGTTTAGAAATACCAAATGTTAACATGTTCTTAGCTTCGTTTTGCAAGTTATAAGGCTATAAGTACAAGTAGGACATTGCTGTTTCAAAATATATATATATTTTTTAAATGTATCAATAGTGACATTGTAACACTATTATCTGTCATAAATCTCTGAATCACACCTTACATGTACACATTTTTTAAAGTAGACAACCCAGAATTTAATATGGGGTATGCCCAGTCTTTTTTAGTAGCCACTAAATGAATTTGAATGCTAATTTTAGTCAGTGTTTGTGACTAGGTGGCTACTGAAAAATACTGGACATACCCCATTTGCAATACCTTGGGTTTTATACTTTTGCAAATGGTATGCCATCATGGGGGTAATTCTCATTCCTGGGCTACCATACAGTCTCAAAGGCAGCATTACCAATCTGACAAATTTCAATGTGAAAAAAAGAAAATGAAAGCCTTATATTTGACTCTGTAACACTTGAAAACACCATACAACCTGTACATGGGGGGTTCAGTTTAACTCGCGGGACTCCTGCGGAAAAAACTGCACTTTCACTGACCATATCATCATTGTGATATGTTTTACTGTTTTGAAACACTAATATTTGTGTCCAGCGAAGGCTCCCGAGAAAAACAGTAACCCCATGTACAGGTTTTATGATGTACTGGAAAGTTACAGGGTTAAATATAGGGCTTGCAAACCAAATTATCTGAACTTTCTGCCTGGGTTGTCAGGCAAGTCCCTCAAATTGTAATTAATAAAATGACTTAATTATGTAAAAATATGATATAAATATATTTGTAGAATTTAAATATATATTGTGTATGTGCATATAAAAGTTCTTAGATCATATATATTATATTATATTATATATATATATATATATATATATATATATATATATTATAATCTAAGTACTTTTATTTACTTTATTAAACTTTTTAACAACTTTTATGAACTTTTAAAAAAAATTTGCAGGCATGAAGGGGACAGCCTGAGAGCTCCTGCACTCCCTCTGCAGACACTGCACAAGCCGGCTATTCCGGCCATGTGATCGCGAGGACCCCGTGATCACATGGCCCGGGGATTGACAGCGATTAGGTAAGTGCATATTTGCAATCGGACGTACCAGGCACATCCGCGGTCTTTAACTGTTTTTTGTTCGACATACCTAGTACATCTGAGGTCGGGAAGGGGTTAACATCCTGAAATTTTGAGAAACCACATAGCATCTCAAAAGGGTGCTCTAAAATACTTTCATTTTCAGTATTAATCAAAATTATGACTTTTTGAATTCAGTTTCTCTCTCATTAAATGAATATTCTGGGAAATAAACAAGGGGGAAAATAAACAGAACAGTTTTCTTCAATCTTGCTCCCCTCCTGGCATATCACTAAAAGGACGGATGTTGCAAATAGTAATGCTACTAATTTTACTTTAACGATTCTAGAGCAGAAAAGAACAACGCTGCCCTATAGATTAGGTTAAGGAAATCATTTTTGATTGCATGTTAAAATTAGATGAGTATGATTGCTATAAAGTGCTGGATGTATTTGAGTGAATAGGGTGCAGGTCTTCAAAAATAGATTGCCAATATCAGGCAGACTGAATCCAAAAAATAACATAACTGCTTCAATAAGCTGTAGTTTTTATGGTTCTTACATTGCCCAGTTGGCAAGAGCATAAAGTATTCAATTGTCAAATACATATTGGATATAATGATAATAATGCTAAATCCCCCAAAAAGGATATATCATATAAGATTATTCAGGTGAATTGAAAGTGAATTTCGAATTTAAGCCAGTGTAGTTAAACAGGAAACATATCTGACTTAGAGAATGTTTAACTATGTTGACCTTAAATTATCAATTCACTTTGAATTCACCTCAAATTCTTACTGTAGTGAATAATCCTGTACATGTTTAATTAAGAAGGAAATTGTTTTATTAAATTTAAAGAATAGCACATTTTGCAAAGGGTAAGGATTAATTACAAAATAATAATTTTTCTATTCCAAGATTAAATATCAATAACCACTTGCATTCTAAATATTTGTATCTATTAGTTGATTTTTCACAATGCTATTTCCATTAAAAATAGTTTCATTAAGTGAAGACACAAAATCAAAAGAAATTATAAAAATATCCTGGCATTCTCTACTAGTGATATCCTGCAATATGTCCTAAAACCCACATAAACAACTTGCAGTGTCATTAAAAACAATATTATGATATTTAGAGCAGCTTGAAAATATTGTCTGAGCTCAGTTAAAGATTTTGAAAGCTCTTTTGTTATGTGGCATATCTGTCAGTTTGCCATGACAAATAGCAATTAAAGAGAGATTTATAATTACCTGAATCATGCATTTTTCAATAATTCCCTTATTGCTGCATGCTTGAAGGAATACAAACATGTATGCCAGACACTATTGACTTGGAATCCATGATTTGCTCACTGAACACCCTCAAATCGCTTTAACCCCTTAAGGACCAAACTTCTAGAATAAAAGGGAATCGTGACATGTCACACGTCATGTGTCCTTAAGGGGTTAAAAAGCAGAGTTTACTCACCTTTTTCCCCACGCGGGCCAGTCTCACCGCGGCTGGCTCCACCTGGCATCACCTACATGACTGAGATTATTAATCTTGATAATCTCAGCAAGTCTAAACTTTCCCATAGGAAAGTATTGGGAGGCTATTGCTTATGCACAGCAAAACACTGCTCTGCACCAATCAATGCGCCTCTATGACAAACTTTAGTGTCTCCATGCAGGACGTGAAGACACCAAAAGCCAGTGCTGCACATTGAGCAGCACTGACACAAGAAGCACCCCTAGTGTCCGTCTAAGTGAATGCCACTAAAGGTGTTGCTAGCCAGCGATGTAAGCACTGCCTTTTCTCTTTTCTCTGCAGGGGCAAGCTATAGACACCAGAACCATATAGTGCTTCTAGTGACTATACATTAGTGTATCTCTAAATATGCACAGAAACACAAATATGTAATACATTTTTGTATTAAACCATAGAGAAATCGTAAATTAGCAATACCCAAATCATACTAGCATACCCATTTAATGACTAAAATACTGCATTAATAAGGATTGGCGAGCAATTCAAAAATGGACAAATGTAGAGATAATACAAAATAAAATGAAGTAACACAAATATCAATGCACTGTCTGTTAAAAATGTTATATTATTATAAAGCAGACACATATAGGAAAAACTGATTTTATTTCATATCGATATATATATATATATATATATATATATAATATTACAATCTGTATATGAATCCAATTTTAAAGTGGTTTTGACAAAAAACATTATGCTCACCTCTCTGCAGCACTAATGATAATGAATAAAAATATTATCTATCTATCTATCATACATACATTGATGATTGGCAGAGATGGACTGAGAGATCTAGACTAACAAACCTCTCTCACTTTATGTTCATAAAATATGTATATTTATATGGATGCCCAATATTATTTTTCCCTAGCCTATCTAACATATTAGGTAATCTTTTAAAAAGTCAGTTGCAGTTCTTTATAGCTATATATGGCAATATCTGCAGAAGGTATCTGTTTATATAGCACATTTTTATCCTCTCCACTGAAGCAGATAATAGGTAATATACTTCCCTATGGATCCATCAGATATACTATTCTTTTTTTTTTATATATATACCTTTCCTCATTTTGCTGATATTGTGGTAAGACATGATCTGAGCATTTCCTTTCTCTAAAGTGTTGATTAAGATTTTCTTTCACTGAAGATGCTACTTTTCACTCAGAACATAATCCGTCATCCCTAAGAAGTTCACTTTTCAGAACAGTATTCTTTAAATATGTAGGTTGACTTGTATTGTAATGTAACAATGTGTTAGCATTACATAAGGTAGACTGCTTGGAAGTTTTATTGGAACCCACTTAGGGCAAATGCACTTTTGCATGCATTGATGTTTCTGTGTGCATTTCTGTTTGTAAAAACTAGATTTACACCTCTCCACCCCATTGGAATTGGCCTCCCAGCCTTTGTCGGAAGAGGCCTTTGATGGCACAGGAGCTAATTCCTCTGCCTTCTTGCCTGAGGAACGCTCCCCGACCTTGGAAGACAGGCACTGGAGAAAGTTATTACAAGCCCTATCCACCCGTGCTGATCTGGCGGCTGCCAAAAGCACCTTACAGGCCTCGATCCGGGCTGACATCCAGGCGCTGAGGGATGACATTCAGGGTCTCAATGACTGTGTGGGACGTGTTGAGGCATCCTGCGACCAACTCAGGTAAGCCCACGTTCAAGTTGGTGACAACTTGGCACAGCATGCGGATTACCTCTGAGGCCTTGCACTATAAGTGGAAGACTAGGACAACCGTGGTAGGTGAATCAACTTGCGGCTGCGAGGCCTTCCCAAGGTTCAAACCGACCCGGTACACCTACAATCCAACAACTTGCTTTGAAGGGACACAAGCTTGCCTATGGCATTCTTCTGAGCCCACTGTTCCCTACCCCTGAGGGGACCCTCAGAGGCACCGCCGCTGGATGTGGTGTGTTGCATGGAAGCGTTTCAAGAGAAGTAATCTATTCTACAGGCCACAAGGGAGGCAGATACTCTCCAGTACAGGCAAGCTGAGCTGCAATTGTATCCGGACCTGTCCCCAGCAATACTGCATTACAGGAGGATTCTACGGCCTCTAACTCGCACCTAGAGTCTAAAGATATCAGGTATCGATGGCGGTTCCCGACAAGCCTGTAGGTGAACACACCTGGTGGTCCTGTGGTAGTTCGCACCCACACGGACTTAATGTCTGTAATCTCCCTGCCTCCGCTAAACCTGATGTGGCCAGACCCAATTGAGTTTTACCTACCTGATCCAATAGTGTCAGTGGCCTTACCCCAGAGAGACCAGAGGCCCAGTATTGCGATGACCTGCTGGACCTGCACCTTGAACTAGGCCAGAGGGAATTTTCCAATTGGCAATCCTAGCCAGCGGTTTCGAGTCTGTGGACCTGCTCCTGCAAACCACTGGGTTGTGCTGGACTCTTCCAACCCTACTTCTCACCACCTCTCTTAGCTTCTCTTGCTCTCCCTCCTTCCTACTCCATTTCTTTATCTTAGTTTCTCTTGCTCACCCTCCTGCTCCCTTCCTTTATCTTCCTCTCTCCCCCTCCTCTCTCCCTCTTCTCTGGCCACCCTCTCTATCTCCCCTTTCTCTCTCTCCCCCTCTTCCCCTCTCTTTTTCATCCCTTCTCTCTTGCCCCCCCTCTTGTGTTTTTAAGCTGAAGTGGTCTGGGTGCCTAGAGTGGTCCTTTAATCTAATTCTACGAATAAGAGGGATACTTGGAATTTTTACAACAAAGTAATCATTTGGACATGGATTTACACAAAAGTTAAATAGGTTTATTATGTTTAATGGGGAGGCAGAGCAATTGGGGTATTGAGGAGACTATAATGTATACCCTAAGTCTCCTTGATTACTCATGATCACTGCAGGGTAAGCAGGGAGGATAGAGAGCAGACACTCAAAGACACACAAATTACCAATGCTATATGTGTCTCTCAGTTGTGAGATGCATGGCTTTGAGAGTAGGATCATATTGCTGAAAAAACACAATAGTCTTCAATGCATAAATGCACATGGTCAGTGGTCACAGCCATTAAATTCTATCTATAAATTGTGCTAGCAGAATTGCTAGAAAATACACAAATTGGGATAAAATCCGATCTGTCAATCAATATTCCCTATCCAACATTACTAGCACTGTTAAGGCAATATTGCAACAGAGTGATTGATGTAATTACATTCAGACAATGAAGCCAGCATGTCGGTATCACAGAGGACATTTGCCCTTGCTTGGGCAAGCATCCCAATGCAGAGAAAATCACAGGTGACTGTGAGATGAGTGAAGGTCAACTGAAGGTAGATGTAACAGAAGTGTAATACACATTTCTGTGAGGACATGACAGAGCAGAGGTTGAGGTGATTTGTGAAAGGGTCCATTTAAGTTTTAAACTACTTGGTCCCTTTTCTAAAGTGTAACCATGCTAAACCTTTGGGTTGAATTCTCATAGCAAACAAAAGGTTTCCACAGCTTACTAATAGCTATTTTCACATAGACGTCAATTAGGGAGTTGCTTTTCAGTAAGAAGAGTAACCCTTAGTCTGCTAAAATGAACCCAGACCTTTATCTAGAGCAACATTAAGCACTTTCACATAAAATAGCACCTATTTTCTTTAATCACTCCACATCAGAAATCGTGTATATGTGATTGCAAGGGTTTGCAACAAACCCCACAATCATATATACATGATTAGAATCATCACAAATTGTTCATTGAAAACTAATTTCATTTACAATTATTTTGTTAATAGAAGAGGCAGTGCTACCTTTTAAGTGCTGGCTCTGCTATGCTCCCCAGTAGCCCACCTCCCCTGTGTAGCACTGGCCTGCAGGAAGATATAGAGATCTCCATGCTTGGCGCTACACTTATCACTGTGCACACTGTTCTCTGGCTCAAAATCTCCCTCCCAGTCAGAGTACGGAATTGGGCATTTGGAATGGTTTCCTCTCATCCAGAGGGCAGATTCAGGTAGCAGCCCACCAGATCACCAGGGAAACAGTATCCACTGGGCCAGCAGGAATAAGGAGCAGAGCCCCCCCTCACTGCAAAAAGGTAAGCAGGATGGGGGCTCAACTTAAAAAAAAAACAACAACATGCAATCGACTGGCCCACACACTCAACCTGTCACACCACCTCCCAACACATTTAGCCACCCAGTCAAATCACCACCCCTCCCCACACACAGTCACCATGTTATATCACCCCATCACCCACACACATACACTCACCCTGTCATATCTTCACACACATCCACATTAAGTCACCATGTCACAATGACTCCCACACTATCCCATCACACACAGTCAGTCCAGTCACATTGTCATACTCACTCTCCTGCAGTCACACTGTCAAATTTACTTTGTTGCAACCACCCTGCCAGAGACTCCCTCATAAACACACAGGCAACACCCCACAAACAATAACTATCCTACTCACACATTCAACCCTCACACAAACAAAACATCCCCTATGTAAACACAGCAAGACCACAAAAAGCCTCTCCATACACACAACACACAAACATAGGTATGCATTGAAGGCACTTTCATGGCTACACATATACAAGGATACTCACTGCCAGACACACAATATCATGCACATACACACTACACAATGTCCTTCAATCCAATATACCCTCCAAGAAAGAAGAGAAAGAAAAATGGGCCACCGATATGTTGTATGATATAAAATGGATAAAATAATAGGTAGGTATTGAGCTCACCTTGTTTAGAGCCTAAGTCCCGGCTCTTAGGTATGAAGGTTTAATGCCACTATAAAGGGGATGGCACTTTCCCCAATGAAGGTTCCTGAGACTGCAGAGAACTCTCAATGTATAACTTTGACAATAAAGTAATAAAAAACCTTATAAAACAAAATCAAAATAGTATAAATTATTGTCCACACTTGTGTAAAAAGTCCTTGCCAGCCAAAACACATTTCACTCCTTCTGAGCTTCTTCAGTCAGCTGTAAACCAAGTCTCAGGAATCCTTCATTTTAAGTAGTCTCATGGTCACTTCTGTTCACTCCCATGTGGTTGGTAATTAGCCAATAGTATTAATTTTGTTCATATTTATACCACAAGTTATTTCAAATAAAGCATTTTTTTTAAAGGATACCACCCCCTCTTTAATTACAGGGTGTTTTGTTTTTTTGGTTTTCATATCTGTAAATTATGTAATGTATGTCCACTAATTGTTTATGTAAGCTATATAAGTGTCAGGATTACTGTATGATCCAGCACATAGAATTGTGTAACACAGTGACAGGAGACAGATAGGTAACGTATACCAGGTCTTAGAATGGCCAGACTCACGTACCAAAGAATAGTCAGGAATAGCCGAGGTCAGGGGACAAAGAAAGGGACACAATGATAAAGGAAAGCAAGAGGTCAGGGATACCAGAAAACAGGGAAGTCAAAATCAATGCCAAAGTTAAATAACCAGAAAAAACTGAATAAGGAGCACATTCTCGGACAATCACTAGGGAAACCACGACCGGGCAATGAGTGTCAGGTATAATAAGGTTTAAACACCTGTTCAAATCTTCTGATTGGCCGAAATCGGTCTTTGACCCCAAAACGTGCGCGCACAGCGTGTGCGTGATGTCACGCACTCGCCAACATCGTCAATCAGCGGACGTGGGGGTATATTTTGCCCTGGCTCCACAGTGGCCAGCGTCCATTAACATGCCGCAAGTGTCAGACATTCAGATGCACGGCCACTGACCGCAAGGTGAGGAAGTGTATGTTACATTAAGTTTGCTGAATTGTTTTTACCTGCAGATTATAAACTGAATATTATATTCTATCAAATAGTTCTTGCCATGATTGTCTGCTGTTATATAAGTATAACCTGTATTAAGCCAACATCCAGCAACTCTATTCTCCTTAACTTTTCTACAGAGATGATAAAAGGTAAACATTATGAGAAGTGTACATTAAAGGACACTGTATTTACCTTAACAACTAAAGCTTATTGTATTTGTTCTGGTGAGAAAAATCATTCCCTTTTTTTATACTTTTTGCAGTAAACACTGTCTTTTCAGAGAAAATGCAGTGTTTACATTAGAGTCTGGAATACCTCCACTGGCCACTCCTCAGGTGGCTACTAGACGTTATATTTATATTCTCCTCATCACACCTGGTTCACTGAAAATTTACTTGGTTTTATAGACATCCCACCACAGTTTTTAACATTATATTTTACAGATGCTATGCCTGTGTGGTACAGCCTGTGAAATTGATCCTAGTGAGAGACTGGTTAGGTTTAAGTTACCACTGGACATATTCACTGCCAGTGACTCTTCACTTACATCAACTTGGAGTGAGAGATAGATAGCCTTGACCATTGTTCCTCGTGTGACACTGTTACTTACTGCTATTGTCTCTTACACCAACTGTGAGAGAAAGAGATATATAGCAGCCTGTGGTTGCTCACTGTTGAAAAAAAAAAGCCCCAACCCCCACTCCAATAAAGTAGACATGCTTTATTGGAGTGGCATAGCAATACTTGACACCCTCTGCATGGAGAAACTGAACTTTCATCCTTGAGATGAATTGATTCATTGCATCTCTATGTGGAAATGCTGATTGGCCAGAGCTGTGTTCGACTTGTGCTAGCTCTGCAATAAAGGTAAGATTTTGCTATATTTGGTGGAGGGGG